GCCACTCCTTGGGAGAGAAGCAACAGTGCCAAACTCTCTCCATTTGTAGACAACTTCTCTGACTGTCGATTGATGAACATCCAGACTTTTAGAGATGGTTTTGTATCCTTTCCCAGCTTTATACAAATCAACAATTCTTGATCGCAGGTCTTCAGACAGCTCTTTTGAGCGAACCATGGTGCACATCAGACAATGCTTCTCATGAAGACAATTCTTCCTCCCCCTTCTGTCATTGTTTGCATGCTATCCTCATTAAAATATGAAAACCTATAAATGTTTGGGTGGTTTTAGTTAAAGCAGACACTGTTTTTTCATCTGTGTGATTTTGACAAAGATCAGATCACATTTGATGGTGATTTTATGCAAAAAATGTGACAAATTCCAAAAGGTTCAGATACTTTTTCATACCACTGTATATAGTGTATACTTGATAGAGGCAGCAGGAGGTCAACGGTTGCTCTGGTCTCAGTTGTCTCTGCAGGGGTTTATTGTAGGAGTAAGTGGTTTATTAAAGGTTGGTGTCTTATTGTATCGCACCCTGCACAAGTCAATGATAACTCATTGACTTGTGCAGGATGTGTTTGATTTAGTTATTATTCTATTACCATTGCTTTGTTATGTTTCATTGTTAACTAACACCAAGAGGAACCCTTTTTTGTTTCATGTGGTGACCACTGGAACGTGTCACTCTGCTCCTCTGTTTTTGGTTATGTTGCACTTTCTTCACTTGATGTTTTTCACTGATTGTTTTACATTAAAATAAACGTCTGCACTAAAAACAAGGAAAGGAAAGGGTAATTTAGAGTTAAAGGTGTAAATAAATAGGTATGTCTAATGATTAAAACAGTTAAATGAACAAAGAACTGCTCTGCTTAACTCTTCCTGATAACAATTCTACTATAAGATGTTAAAATTGATGTTAAAGACTAAACACTGAATTTTTAAAACATTTATTCCTATTTGCTTCGAGTCTGAAAAACAACAGTTTTTATCTTGGAACACTTGTACTCTTTTTTAACAGTTGTCACTGTACGTCCAAAGAAATTGGTTTGCAGAAGCCCAATGGGAGTTTGACTGATGACCTTTACACCTAGTGCTTCATGACTAGTGCTGTACATGTACACAACAGGCCTGGTCAGCCTTACTGTTTGTATGTCTGACCACGCTGATCCCTCAAATGGTTAGAAATGCCTCTGTTCACACCCCTTTTTAAAAACCATCCCCACAATTTACTTTTGACATCATTATGGAAGAGGTAACAAATATAGCTATCTTCTACAGAACCCTACAAAATCACCTCTAAATGTTTTTCTAACAAAGTCTGAGGAAGTATTTAGGCTTGTCTGAGGTCAGATATTAACACTACATCTGACTGGGGTTTAAACATTTGTACATGTTGGGATCATCACTCCCTCACTCAATTTACAGATTTGGTTTATACCTAAGGAAAGTAAAGACCAGAGTAAACGTCTTTGTGAGCCAGTGAATGTTTACTTTGTGTTTTGTTATTTAATCAGTGTATAAATCTGTTTTAAGATGCTCGTTAGAATTAAAACTACTCACTTGCCTGTTTGCTGTGAAGTGTTGACTGAACAAACTGTTTCTATGAAGGCTCTGTTCTTAGATGTCAGAAACCGGGATCTTTCCAGGCCTGAGTTGTTTGAACTTGTTGACTTGTTGAAGTGTCTCCTCTCAGTGTTTGTGTTGTTTATGATTGTTGTGAATGGCTCAACTGTTGAAACTTTCATCTAAAAGTTCAACTCTTCCTAGACACCTAGTGTCTGGAGGCTTGTTTATTCTTCAACAACGGCATGCTTCTGTCCAGCATGCCATATTCAATTGGAAGCTCCTCACGCCCAACCCCCTCCTCCAGCCCCCCAACCACTGGCCCCGCCCCACTATTTGAGAAGCTTTACAGCTTTAACCTTCAGTGTGACACCTGTGTCCATCAGTACGTGCAAGCTAAGATATTTCCAGACAAAAATTGGAAAAACTCACTGCAGAAGTTTGAAAGTGGACGTGAATTTTCTAAAAGAAGACGTTTCATCTCTCATCCAAGAGGCTTCTTCAGTTCTAACTGGTGGTGGAGAGTACAGCAGATATATATTCTAGGTGAGTAATCTTCTATGAGAATCTTCATAGACATGTTCTCACTGCAGAAGTTTTGTTTCCTGCCAGTTTTTTTTTCTTAGAATCCTGTCTGTGTTTCGCTCCAAAACCATGGTTCTTCTCTTTCTTCTCTTAAATATAAGGTTTTCCTCTGTGAAGCTTTAACATAGTAGTGATACTTAATGAGTTGTGATGTTTGGAATTGTTGTTGATTCTCTGACGATGGTGTCTTGAAAGTTTCCAAGATTTGGGGGTTAACAGTGCTACTGTAGCCATGTCAGTTGTGTATGTGTTCATTCAAATGGAATAAGATTCAAAATAAAGTCATTTGGTTTATACCTAATAATTGTTCCATGTCCTCTGTCCTAGGACTTAGGCCTTATACTAATGTTCTGCGTGTTAAGATGGGAGGTTGAAGCAAGTTTTGTTTCTCCTCATCTGTTTCTGTATCACAGGAAGCTGCAGTCGAATAATCTGTTTTAAATATGATGTATGTTCATGTAGGACACGGTGGTGGAGTGAGAGAGGAGGAGGATGATGATGATTATTGATCCATTCTGAGATTTATAAATAATAAATAAAATAAAAAATCCACACCATGCAACCAGGTTCAAATGGCACAACATTACCGTCATGCTTTAAGAAACAACAACAACCACTTACTTTGAGTTTATATATGTATATATATATATAATATATGTAACTTGCTAGAAACAGTGCCCAGTCACAGCAGTCAGTTGCTGACATGATGTATGTGTGGAATTTATCCTGTCATCACCGTTGATTATAATCGCAACGTGGGTAATTAATTTGCCGTGTCTCGGTAACGGAGTGCATATCTGTATAAATACTAACCCCGTTTCATGTACTCAGCTGTACACCTCCACCACAAGGGGTCACTGGTGTAAGAGTTAAAACGTGTAAATGTCATTAAGTAATATGTTCGCATGTTCAGTTTCAAATGC